TGGTGGTGGTGGAGGAGGAGGAGGAGGAGGAGGAGGCGGTGGTGGCGGAGGTGGCATTGAGGGTAATGATGCTGAAGCTGCAGAAGGCTGAATCTCAGAATTTGAAGGAATTGAAGTTAATGTATTAGATGACGTCAGCAGAGGAGGAGGAGGAGGTGGTGGTACAATAGTTTGACTAGAACTTTTTGTAGAATCGTTCTCAGAGAAACCAGGTAGATTTGGTACATTTAATTCGAATTTTGTTGAATCTTTCTCGTTTGTTGTTGATGTTGGAGTTGGAAGGTCAGGTCGAATGGTAGGTGTTGTTACTGCTGAAGAAGGCGCAATTGGACTTTGAAAACTAAGATCTAAAACAAACTTTTCATCATCCACAATTCCAGGTAAATCTGGAAGCATTGGGGGTACATTTATTTGCGGTACCTACAAATCAAAATATTCCATATTTATCACATAAAATAAAAATAACAATATTGTTTAAATATTTTATTATGCAGCTTTTAAAAAAATGCTTTAAATATTTTATGTTCAAATATTTTACCTCGCCTAGAGTTGGTGTATAGAGATAACTACAAGACTCTGTTTCTGCTGATCTCCATGGCTGTATAATTGAATCAGGTGCATCTTCAATTTCTTGTGTATCATTTGTTTTATGATTACTGTCTTTCGTAGATACTTTATAAGGATTGTCCATACTATTAAATAAAAGTGCATTGATTGAAGACATATGGAGCGGAAATGAAACTTCACTGCTATTTAAATAAACTTCTTTACTCAATTTAGATCGAACATGATAAAATTGTAACTTTTCTTGCAAATTATTATTTGCTACATATTGACCATCCTCTGTTTTACAATTAGAAGATAAGTACGTTTCAGGAACATTCTTTATGGGTACTGAACATTTGTACATTTTTGGTATTTTATTGGTACCATTACATTCAGGTTTTATAGCCATCTCATATTCCTTGTATGTATGATTAGCAGGATACTTTGCAGCAGAATACATTTTCACAGCTTTTAAATTCAAATTAGTTTGTAAATACTGTAATCGATCTTGTAGTTTTGTTGCTCTATTTCTAATATTTGATAACCTAAAGAACAAATGTATTAATATCTTTATATAAAAATTTAAATAAATATGAATTCAGTATATTAAGAGTTTATATAGTTGAAATTTTTAAATATTTATAAAAAAAGGTAAAAAAGAAAATTGGAATAGTTATTATACATAAAAAGAATTCATTATTACAAATTATAATTATATATCACTGTTTCAATTTGCTGAAGTAATAATATATAAAAACATAAAATACCTTTGGCTATTTTCAGAAAGTCTTTTATCAATTGATTCAAATATATAGTTAACTGCAGAATCCAGATTATCAAGAGCTTCTGCGATTTGAACAATAGTTTCTTCATGCCGTAAATTGTCAGGGATAACTCCTACATGTCAAATTTACAAAAGATATTTTTATTATGATAAAAATATAACTGTATTACTTCTCATTGCATATAAATTTACCAAAAATAATATATCATAAGTATTTTTGACCATGTAAGTGATAATATTATTTATCATAAAAAATACAGAGTAAAAATATCAAATATCAGAAATATATCTAATTTATATATGGTGTCATGATCTCATAGTATTTTCATGAACAAGTATAATAATGCTATTGTAGTATTTAAAATTACTAAAACAACAAACTATTAGAATACATGGACAGAATTATATCAGCAAAACACAATCAAGTGATTTCCTAACATAAATTTTTATAATCATTATTTAATCAGTTTCTTTATTAGCTCTCTGGGTTTTAACACATTCTGTACTAGAAAGAATAAATTTCTTTTTGACATACATCTTACAATTTTGAAATAGTTACAAAATTATAATTATCAAGAAAAGGGCTGTAATACAATACTTTAATAAATGCAATATGTATGGTATTACGATTTCATGTTTGACTCTACAGTAAATTTTAAATGATTCTTAGTTTTTCAATGCGAATTCCAAAGGGACTTAAATGCAAAGCTCAGCATAGGTCATATCAACACAGAATGTGTTAATATTATCAATTAATTATATTGTTACCTAAATGAAACATTGATAAACTATTCTTAAATTAATTCGATTTCTTGTTTCAAACTCAAGATATCCTTAATATGAAACCTTATGCTATTCTTAATATAAAATATTCATATTCCTTGTTCATAAAACAGATATAAAGATTCCAAATAGGAATTCATTGTTGATAAAGAATGTTAATTTTGTTTTCTCTGCATTTTAATTATCATACTGACAGACATTAAGTTCATGTGTTAAATGCCACAAATAAGCATGTGCATATTGTGCAGCTGATTTATATGTCCAAATTATATGATTAAAGAAAAGAAAATAAATGATTATAATTTTAAGTAATAATTTTAACTGTTCATTTCTATTTTAAATAGAATCTGATATTAAGAATACTTTTTCAACATCATTGATTTTGTATTTCTTTATATTTCCATGCTAAACAATGACAGCTATTAGAACATTTAACTAGTTATGAATAAGATCTCGTATGTGGTACCATTACTTTGAATATTTTTATATTGGAATATAAAATTAATAATTAAAATAGCTTAAGAACAATCATAATGCAAATTCAAAACAACTGTAAACTTAAAAACAAATTATATCTAACAAGTAGTAATACTTGTTAGTATTGAATGTATGTGGTTTTATATTTGAAGTAATGATTCACATATATTCTTTTTTAAGTAGTAAGATAAGATTTCGATCAATTTATTATATCAAGAAATTTGTTTACCAATTTCAATTCGTTCTGGCATCGTGAAAAGTTTCCGAAGCTATATATTAAATTTAGTAAGTGCACTGCACAACCAAAAAATATTATGTACACTTAAATATATTAGCATTAACTACATATAAAATGCATTTTTATACAAAATTAGTACTACAGTACAGTGCTATTACAAATTAACCTTAGTTAATGACACAAATCAAAATAAATCTGAAACACTTTTGAAGAGTTTACATGTTCCTATCGATACTTGATTTGGGATACGTTTACATTAAACAACCAACAAGAAGGGAATAATCATAAACTGAATTTTGTATGGTCGCTGTCAACTTAAATTGTTTAGTATAGTTTTAAAGTTGGTTTTGTTCAAATTTTAATTAAAAAAAGTTATCAAGTTTTAATTTGTTGTTCAATTTTATTAAATATCAGTTACTTTATTTTGTACATCTCGCGAATACATCGTGAGTTGAGTAGGGATTGTTTGCTTAGAGCTTTTTGGCCAATGAGCTGCACATAAATTCCCCACATAATCTTGAAGAAACACAACACTAGAGGGCAGTAATAGTTTCAAATTGCGGCAACTTCAAATCTATTTATATTAAACTTTCACTATCATCTTAGTTTATATATGGATCAGTTTCACATCCAGTCTTGAATTATATGAAAGATTTTCCAATTACTCTCTTTAAAATCATTAATACAACATAAAGCTAAGTAACAAAATACCAAAAAAGACCAGTAAGAAATGTATGCAAACGATAGTTCCAAAAATTTTGTATAAAATATTGCAAGTGCAGTTTTAGTATAGGTCAAAAGATTTTTTATTCTGCAAGCAATATTCGAAATTATAATTAGACAAAATTGATTATTTTTAAAATATTGATAAAAACAATTCTCCGTTTCCAAGATGCACATGCGCGTATCGCATTTCTAATTTATATTTTATTCCTTTTGGATATGACCATCGACTTACAAATATAATTTTCACTGGTATGACATCATAGTTCACGTGTCGAATTGTATATCGCTCTTGATATTATTAAGAGATTTTAATACATAGAAACTTCTATTCGTGATTTTATTTGCACATGACAACCCAATTTCTGCTAAGTTCTACGTCAGGAATTGTACAACTTTCTTCATTATATACCTGAATCAAATTTTATTTTATAATTGAGAGTTTATAATTGTAATTCTTCGACGCGACGTTAAACACGTATGTTAGAAATTACTTAAAATATTTCAAGCGTCATATATTTTTATAAAAATTTTAGAAAGTAATTGCTAATGTTTTGTTCGAGAATAAATCACGAAAATATTATATATATTTTATCATTTTATAAATTTGAAACGATTTATATAACCTTCGTATTGCACAATTATCAATGTTAAACATTTGTAATAAATGTATGACTATAAAATTTCATAACATTACGATTATATATAATTCAGCCAATTTTATTCGATCATAACTGTATTTTTTATTATAGGTTATATTAATACAATAAATGCTTGTTTATTGTATTAGAAAGTGTGAAATACTTTTTAAATAAGTATGACGAATTATATAAAAAATCGAAAACAAATTTTAGTTCATAACATATATATATGATAATTCTTCAATAAGAAGAATAAGAAATAAGTACTTAAATGTAGTTTATATTCAAGCATTCATAATGAATGTTTATAATAAAATTAGGGTAAAATTTGTAAAACAGTTCATAGTACAAATTAATATGAGAGTAGCTTTATCTACAAAGAATAGAACACATTATGAAACGTTGGGAATATCTCCAAATGCTACACATAATGAAATAAAGTCAGCATATTATAAATTAACTTTAAAATATCACCCTGATAAAAATAAAAGCGAATCTGCAAAACACATGTTCCAAAAAATTTCAGATGCATATGGTGTGCTTGGTAATTACAAGTCACGTAAACAGTATGATAGAAGTATTGCAGTTAGACATGGAAGAATAAACGTAGTTCATAAACCTGTGTATAAACAGGATAATTTTGAAAGTGATGCACCACCAATAAAGCAAAAAATTTATGACTTTGATGAATGGACTCGAGCACATTATCAGAGAACTTTTGAATCTGACCAGCGTAGAAGATGGTTGAGAAAAAGATTTAATGAATCTAAACCAAAACCAAGTGAAGTAGACCTTGGTGCTATTATTTTTCTAGGGCTAACTGTATGTACTGTATTTGGTTTCATTGCTTACTTCAAAACACAAGAAGATCATGATGTACCATTGGATAAAGAAAAGAAATAATTAAAAATTTTATTTTTAGTAATACTATTCTTTATTCCATGAAGAATTATTAATATAATAGTGCAATTAAAAATTGTTGTTTATAACATATATTGCAGAGTATATTTTATTAATCCCTTTTAATAAATACATTACAAATATTTTATAGTATATGCATTATCAGATGTAGAGGAAGCACTCTTTATTTGTAATGTTATAATTGAATTATATATTAACATTAATAAACATTTATAGTTTCAGATTAAAAATGTGAATAACATTTGGTTTCAGTATAAATATAAAAATATTTTAATTTCTTTTTAATTAGTTAATGTTTACATAAAAGTATTCAGTAAAATGAAGTACATATTTATAAATCTGTATAAAATTAAAAAAGTATATGGAAATAATAAAAAATATTAATTGAATTAAATTTTATTGTATAAATTTAATTTCTGTTTAAACATAAAATAAAATACAAATAGTAATACAGTGAATATTCTATACATACAGTATTCTCTTCGTAAATGTTAAAAAGATCTCTACCGTAAATGTTAAAATTGTATCCCCACTACTGGGGGGATCCCCTCGAAATCAGTAAAGAATGAAATACGATCGGTCGCGGAAACAACGAGGATCGAATATTGGTGAGGCACATATTTATGCAAGTAAAGGAAAAGATTATAACTTTCTTATTTCTTACTATTTTTTCATGAAACTTTTACTGTTGTATTTGTCTAGATTTCTTGATTAAAATGACACCAAACATAATATAATTACGTTAACAATTGCGCGTGTAACGAATGATTAAAGTTTTTAACATAAAAGAGGGCGGCGAATGGAAAAGAAAGAGAAGCAGAAGGTTGACGCGTTCGGCAAACATGAAAGACTCGTGCGTCTTCTGTCTTTTAAATTCAAAAATCAAAATTCTTTATTTTTGGGGTTTCATTAATGAAGCTTTGATTATCGTATTCGTCTCGTTTTTCTAATTAAAATGGTACCAAACACGGTATAATTAAAATCATAATTACTTGTATAGCAAGACTTTAGGAGGAACAAAGCCCGAAATTTTTATGGTTTGTTACATAAGTAATTACGATCGTAATCATATCGTGTTTGGTGTCATTTTAATCAGAAAAACGAGACAAATACGATGGTAAAAGTTCCATTGACGAAAAACCAAAAATAAAAAATTTTAATTTTTTAATTTAAAAGACAGAACACGCACGAGTCTTTCATGTTTGCCGAACGCTCGAAACTCTATCCCTCCTTGTTTTTTGTATCGCTGGCTCTTTTTACGTTCGGCACACTACAAAGAATGTAGGACCTCGACCGTAAATGTTACAATCGAAACCGGCAAAAGTAACATTTACGAAAAGAATACTGTATACGCAAATCTTTCGGGTCTGAGGTTTTGCGTATATCGTACAGGTCCTACATTGATTGATGTTTTGCCGAACGTAGAAAAGGACAGAAGAGAAAAATAACACGGT